GGGCATATTATGGTCACTCCTTGGAGTCTGATTAATTGTATATACTGTAATACTTTTATGTACTGTGTAAAGTAAATTCTTTGAGGAGAAATGACAGCTATATTCCTCTGTGGATATAACCGTGACTATAAAAACCATATTTAGAACACAATAAGTATACTGTTATAAGAAAAAGGGAGTAATTGATGACTCCTAGTGTTTATGATTTCTCCATCCATGGATAGTTGATTAGTTTCCCAGTACCAGGAATGAATTTCTCATTGAGTGGGTCTCCGGACCAATAGGACAGCTGTTGGTTACCCCAAAAATAAAAGTGTCTCTATCCTATCATGAGCGTTATTTTGCCAGGCTTTTCAAACATCTTGGTGGTGGGATTACTGATTGCTTATCTCCCTTGGCACTTTGTATAGCATGTTCTCATAGTATGAGAGCAGGTTTCTATGTCAGGTCCAGCTAAATTACTCCAAATTCTGTGTCTAAAGTGTGGAGTCTTGAGCAATAGGGCCTTACAACTAAAACTATTTTGCCAGTTTCAATACAAAAAATTATTTCATAATCCTTGTCCAGTTTCCTTAATTTGTACATTTTTGAATGTGCTTGTGGGTGTGAGCACATGATAAATGTTCTGAAAATCGATGACGTCTGAAAATGTAGATTTTAGAGAGCTTGGTCATTTATGAGAGGTATGTTAACTACTAGATGAATCAGTCAAGTATTTGGATGTCTTGAAGCTGGCAACATGCAGTTTCTGTACAAGTGACATACACGTATTTCTACAACTTGGGCATTTATCTAAGCATGTAAATATATATCTATAAAGTACATTTAATTGAAATATTTAATAAGAGTATTTTTTTTCTAAATTCTAATTGTGAGTGTATTTCAATCTATTTTCATAGAAAATTGTGTATCTAATTGTTATATTTATTTTTTAAATAAAATATGTGGATATGTCAGAAGAACTAGAATTAGAAACAATACCGGATTTAAAAGTGGAAAATGAAAATGCTTATAATAAGAATGAAGACTATCAAAAGTTGGTATGTAACTATTTAAATTTAAATTTCTCACTTAATACTGTTTGGTTTGATGATCTTACCATAGGCCAAAAGAAACTACACTTCAGGCTACTATATTCAGTCCATCAGTGATGATTTAACATTGAGATGAAAGTCTTTTACCTATTATAAAACACAGGGTATTCTTAGAATCCAGCCACACAGCTAGTCATTGTCTTTTATAAGTAATTTAGTAAATAATTATGTGATTATTACTTGTGCTTTATGTTAAGCTCTTTACGTAGCTGAAGAGTCTTATGGCTCTCTATTTAAAATAGTGGGTGATATAAAATTGTGACTTCAGAGTTGGATTTATTTCATAAAGTTGATTCTTCCTGCAGAAACTAAATTTGTTATGTGATGATTATACTCAGTTATGTCAAGGAGAAATTTTTTCCTTATGGTCACTGGGTTATTTCCTGGTCCTCATTTGAAAAGATAATATGGACATATAGTCAACTAATCCGCCAACAGAAAGAATTTTTTATTCCATAAAAGAGGCTTAATTGTGAAGGAAAAACTCAACTATTTTGCTCAATTCAATGAAGAAAATTAATTATTTCCACATTATTGTCCAATATGCTTTATATATATATATATATATATATATATATATATATATATATATATATATATCGATTTGAGTTAACATAGAGAATTCAAATAGATTCAAGACACTATAGTTTCCCTTTTACACAATGTTAGGTACTTACTGAAGTAGGAGTATGTTCTGAAGACATTTTTAATATTTTAAACCTACATAAATCTGTATAGTCAATATCTACTCTATGTTGAGAAATCAAGAACTGAGAATTTCAGAGGGAAGCCTAATATGCTATAGTAATAGAACACAAAACAAGTAAAAAGCAACTGTTTTAGTTCAGATAGGTGCATTTTGTCATAAAGAAACATATGGTACAAAGAGATATTTAGGTAAGATTGTCATTAAAACAGGGTAGGAGTGAGAATGTTATTTTGTCATCAGAGAACAAAGTATGAAGCCTAACATGTTTTAGAAGATGAGGGAGTGTCCACTCAGTAACTGTCAAATAGGATGGCATTACTGTACATATAGAATAGTGGACAACATATTCTCATAACTTTTAAAATTCTTGAATGACGAGAAAGTAAGATTTGTTTATTCTATTAAACATGCAAAAATGTGAAATGGTGTTTGGGGAAGATTTCTGTTCATTCATAAAATATTAAAACTGCATAATGGTCTAATGTTATTGTCTAAAGGTAACATAGGAAATAACTTGTCTGCTTATCATTTTGATCCAGATTTACCATCTATAAGAAATTAACAAAATATGTCAGTTTTGTTTGTTCACTTTTACTGAAATTAAGCACATTCTGCCTTCTTCACTGCACAATCAGCATGATACAATATGAATGCTTTTAACATAATACATATCTTCTATCAAGCCTAACCACACAAATAATGTCATTGTATAACACATCATGATTAATATTAATCGTGTCCTAGACGAATGGCCTTACAAAAGATGTGAACATTTGTGTCATTAACATCCTCCAACTTTACTAAGAAGAACAAATTAGTTTTATGCATTGTAATATAAAATAATTACTTTTATTGATACATACACATCAGGCATTACTCTGTCTATGGATGTTTTTCCTCTATTCTATGTTTCTTGTATGTAATTGGGAAATGAAAGACTTAAACTTGACTGGGTATATAAGATTCTTCATTCAAATACCATGATCTTTGATATATACTGCATGTATTCTCATGAACAATTTTCTTAAAGTCCAATATCATGATATGTTCAGAAATAGAAAATAAGACCTTTTGAAATTACACTACTAATATCATGTGACAGAGTGTGTTTTACCCTAATCCACTGCAGAAAGCTGCCCAGTCATCCAACATAGGAAATGGTCCAGAAGAAAATGAAATAATTCAAGGTAAGAGTCATCATGAAGAGACTTTATGTAAGACAAATGCTGGTATGTTGTGCTACCAAAAGAAATCACTGAATAAATTGACACTTAAATAAAAGACAACAAAAGTGGTGATAAGCCCCATATGTTAATAAGCATGAGCGATGTGTAAAATTGAGATATTCCCAGAAGGATCTCTGGGTTCTCTTCTACCTGAGATACCTAAGGTGCCCCTTTGTCCATTGACTCAACTAGGTATAACTGAAGGTTTTATGTTTAGCAAAAGATGTCTAAATGGGGATTTATCTCCTCTTTTATTTGGAGACTCCATTTGGATTTATTTTATATGCATATGTATTTAGAATTCTTCTACAGTACTATGTTTCCATATGGTTTCTCATGTGGATTTTAGTAAATTGTCCATCCCCATATTCCTACCCTAACCTCTCACTTGCATCGCCCTTCCCACCACTGTCTCTCCACAATTAAATATTCTATTTCCCTTTACTTGAATGATCCTGGCAAGTAGTCCCTTACTTGATGCAGAGTCTCTGTGGTTATATGGATTTAAGCACACATGTTGAAGACTTAAATGCTAACACTCACATATAAGGGAAATTATACAGTATTTGACTTTTGGATCTGGGTCTCCTCATTCGTGATGATTTTTTTCTAGCTTCATACATTTATATGAAAATTTCCTAATTTCCTTTTTTTGATAGAAGCAAAACACCCCATCGTGTAAGTTCACCACATTTTCATTATATATTTGCCAGTTAAAGGACATCTAAACTGTTTCCTAAATCTGGCTATTGTAAATAGTCAATAATGAGCATGTATGAGCAGGTATTTATCGTAGTAGGATATAGAGTCCTTTGGGTATATGCCAGATAGATGTATAGGTGGGTTTAAAGAAGGATTAGTAGCCAGCTTCCTGAAAAAATGCCAGAGTCATTTCCTTAATGGCTGTAAAAGTTTACATTCTCATGAGTAATGAGCAAGTGTTCCATTTTCGTCATATCCTCACAAGCATGAGTTGTCATTTGCTTAATTGAACTTTGCCCTGTGGACAGGAGTAAAATAAAATCTCCAAGTACTTTTGGTTTGCATTCTCCTGATAAAGAAAGATGAGCATTTCTTTAAAAGTTTGTCAGCAGTTTGTGTTTTATCTTTTAAAAATTGTCTTTGTATTCCCGAACACCATTATCATTGGGTTAGTTGTTTCCTGGGAGTCCAATTTTTCTTCTTTATGTATTTTAGATACTAACTGTACATTAGAATGATTAAGTTCTTTTCCTATTATGTAGCCTGATGATGGTGTCCTTTGCCATAAAGAAGCTTTCAGTTTCATGTGGTCCCATTTACTAAATTTGGGTCTTAGTGCTGTGTTACCGGTGTTCTGTTCAGAAGTCTTTCCTGTCCCAGTGAGTTCAAGCCTGTTAAAAACTTTTTCTTCTGTCATATTCAGGGTATCTAGTCTTATTTTGAGATTCATGATCCATTTGGAGTTGAGTTTTGTTCAGGGTAATAAATACTCCTATGTGTATTCTTCTTCATGTATCCATGAAGTTTGGTAATCTCCATGTATGGAGGCTATTTTTTTAATCCAGTGTATATTTCTAGTTTCTTTATGAAAAATCATGTATTCATAGGTGTTTTGACATTAATTTGATTTCGTTGATCAACATGTCTATTTTGATGATAGAACCATGATGTTTTTATTACTCTAGTTCTGTAACAAAACATGCAATCTGGGATAGTGATTTCTCCAGCGTATTTTAGTATTGAGAATCTTCTTAAATCTATCCAAGATTTTTTTGTATTTCCATATGAACCTGAAAGGCTTTTTGATGCTGTTGTGGTTGTTTTTTAAATTTCTCTGAATTTTGATGGGAATTAAATTGAATCTATAGATTTCTTTTGATATATTTCAGTATATTTCCGCATCCAGAGGTAAATGCCTTTTAATATTTATATTGAATAATTATATATTGTTGAAATCCAAAATATTGATTAAACGTCTCTTTTCAAAATAGCTGAGGGATGATTGTCATCTAGTCTCCAGATCCAAGCCTGAAACACAGCAGTCTCAAACAGGTAAATTTTGTAAGTCACTTTCTCCTGATCAGTTTATTCTAATACATTTCAAATACACACAGTCTTCCTGATGCCAATTATATCTTGACTATAATGTTGGAAGGTTTTTTCATAAACAATGCCAACTCACTAGTGACATACATGCTTCAAAATTATTACATTGACAACATAAAACATTTAGAAATGTCAGCTCAGCTTCAATGTTTAATACTCATGTTAGACTGCCTTATCATTTCCAGTGTGCTATCTCTGTTTATTAGTGACTTGTAGAAGTCAATCATGAGACTAATGAGACTGCCCCAGTGTGTGACCATAATTTCCTGATCGATCTCACGATCTCCTACACACATAGCTATCTGTAAGGACAAGGCAGAAACTTATTTGAGCTCAGAGATTCTGATCTGGACTGGACAAACAGCAATATACAATATCTTCAGAAAAGAAAATCAATTTTTAGGTTGCTCTAGAACTCATAGTACACTGCTTCACTTCACTCATAGTGCACTGTAATTTAATTATAACGAATAGGAAATGCATTTAGAATTCTTATCTACAATCCATGTCAATAACACAGCATACACTATCATATAGTGGAGCAGTCATTGACAATCCCAAAGCTTACATAGGTATCTTGCCATAGGAAACTTGCAGCTTCATGTGGTCCCATTTATTAAGTGTGGGTCTTAGTGCCTGTTCTACAGGTGTCCTATTCAAAAAGTCTTTTCCTGTACCAATGAGTTCAAGCCTATTACACACTTTCTCTTCTGTTATATTCAGTGTCTCTGGTCTTATTTAGAGATCCTTGATTCATTTGGAATTAAGTTTTTATTTAGGGTAGTAAATACAGATCTCTGTGCAGTTTTCTGTCATGTGTGGAAGATGTTTTTTTACCCAGTGAATATTTCCGGTTTCTATATGAAAAATCATGTGTCCATTGGTGTGTGAACCTCCATTTGGTGTTCAGTTTGATTTCATTGATCAACATGTCTACTGTGATGCTAGAACCATGCTGTTTTTATTAGTCTACCTCTGTAACAAAACATGAACTCTAAGATAGTGGTTTCTCCATCCTCTTTTCATATTAAGTATCCTTTTTATCTCTATTCAGTGTTGTCTTTCATTATTTTGTTCTTTTTTTATTTAAAATTTTATTTTACATACCAATCACAGAGCCCCCTCACATCCCTCTTCCGACTCCCCTCCAGCATATGCCCAGCACCTCCTCCAAAAGTGTTAGGTCTCCCATGGGGAGTCAGAAAATCCTGGTACATTCAGTTGAGGCAGGATCAAGCACCTCCACACTGCAGCAAGGCTGAGCAAGGCATCCCACTCTAGGTAATGGGCTCCAGATTGCCAGCACATGCACCAGGTTTTGATCCTGATCCCATTACCAGGGGGCCTTCAAACAGACCAAGCTACACAACTGTCTCCCATATGCAGAGGGCCTAGCCAATCCCATGCTGGTTCCACAGCTGTTGGTCTAAAGTTCCTGAGTTCCTACAAACATGGTTTAGTTGTCTCTGTAGATTTCCCTACATAATCTTGACCCTGCCCCCCTTGCTCATAGAATCCTCTTCCCTCTCTTCTACTGGACTCCCAGAGCTCAGCCTGCTGCTTGGTTGTGGATCTCTGCAACTGCTTCCATCAATTACTGGATGAAGGCTCTATGATGACAGTTAGGGAATTCACTAATCTGAATACCAGGGTAGGCCAGTTCAGGCACCCTATCCCCTTTTGCCAGTCTTCTAATCTGGGGTCATCCTTGTGGATTCCTTGGAAATTTCCCTAGCACCAGGTTTCTCCCTTACCCCATAATGTCTCCCTCTATCAAGATATCTCTTTCATTGCTCTCCCACTCTGTCCCTCCCCCAGCTCAGCCATCCCATCATCCCCTCATGTTCTCATCCTCCATCCCATCCCCTTTATTGCCTCCCATCCCCACTTTACTCATGGAGATCTCCTCTGTTTCTCCTTCCCATGGCAATCCATGTGTCCCTCTTAGGCTCCTTGTTTCCTAGCTTCTTTGGAGCTGTGCGTTGTAGTCTGATTATTTTTTTTCTTTACATCTGGTATCCACTGATGAGTGATTACATATCATGTTTGTCTTTCTGAGCCTGGGTTACCTCACCACAGGAGTCTTGCCTGCTGGCCTACAACTGGGGCTGCAATGGGTGGGGGTAAGGGGGCTTGGGTTGTGCCTCTGAAGCAGGGTGACCGGCTGGTAGTACAGTAAGTCACCTCTTGGTCCAGTGGGAGCCAGCCAAATCTGTGTCTCAGGGAACAGCTATGGTCTTGGGGGATGGGTGGATTTGGGAGAGCAAGTGGGACTTGTAGATAACAGAGTCTTATGTGGAGTGGAGGTAGTTAGTTCTGCCTGCAGGAGACTTTCCAACTGGCCTGAAATTGGGGCTGTAATGGGTGGGGGAATGGGGGCATGGGTTGTGCCCCTGGGCCTAAGGCCTAGAGGCTGGGTGACTGGCTGGAAGAGCAATGACTCACCTCTTGGTTCAATTGGAGCTAGCAGAGTCTGTGTCTCAGGGAGCAGCTGAAGACTTGGTGCGGTGGGTAGACTTAGAGGGACAGAGCGGGACTTGTGATTAAAGGATCTGATGGGGTGGTGGGAATCAGACCTGCCTGCAGGAGTGTTGCCTGCTGGCCTGTAACTGCTCCTAGGAGAACAGGGACTCACCTCTTGGGCCAATCTGAGCTGGTGGAGTCTCTCCATTCTTTTGTTTGGTTTTTTATTTTTTTATTTTTATTTTTTTGTATTTCCATATGAACCTGAAAGGTGTTTAGACGCTGTTGTGGTAGGTTTTTCTTTTTTTCAATTTTTCTGACAAATTATATTAGAATTTTGATGGCTCTTGCACTGAATCTTTAAGTTACTTTGCTAAGTTTCAATACATTTGTGTCAGTTTTTGTCCTAAGCAGTAAAATAATGGGAGTTTATTATGAAAGAAGGGAATGAAATCTCATTGCCATCTGAAGCCTACATAAAGGTAGTTTTGGTGATCTCATTGTGCATGAGACTGACTCTACATTTTTCTCTTTCAGTGCGGGCTGAAAAATATCCACACCCAGAGGTAAATGCTTTTTAATATTAATATTGAATAATTACATCTTGATTGAAGTCCAAAATATTGATTAACTATCTCATTTCGAAATCCATTCAGCAGAGGGATTATTCTCATCGAATTTCCAAACCCAAGTCTGAAACACAGCAATCTCAAGCAGGTAAATTTTGTAAGTCACATTCTCCTGATCAAGGTATTTTAATAAATTTCAAAAGCACACAGTCTTCCTGATGCCAATTATACCTTGATGATGGTGATGATAGAATTTGACATACGCAATGCCATCTGATAGTGGCATACATGCTGGAAAATATATTACATTGGAAATATAAAATATTTGCAAAATAAGCTCAGCTTTAATGTTTAATACTCAGGATCTAAGGCCTTATCCTTTCCAGTGTGCAAACTCTCTGTTTATTAGTTACTTATAGAAGTCAATCGTGAGACTAATGAGATTTCTCCAATGTCTGACTATGATTTCTTGATGCCTAGGTCTCAGAATGAACACCTGTCGTACTCAAAGTTACCAGAAAGGGTAAAGCAAAAACATATGTGAACTCAGAGATTCTGTTCTGCACTGGACAGCCAGCAGTATACCACATCTTCAGGAAAGAAAATCAAGTTTTGTTTTGTTCTAGAACTTATAATGTATATCTTACCTTCATCTGTACAGCACTGTAATTTAGTAACAAGAAATAGGAAATGTATTTAGAATTCATATCTATAAGTTATTTCAATAACACTATCATATGGTGAAGTGATTATTTAAAATCCCATAACTGGTATACATATCTTGCCATAAAGAAGCTTTTAGCTTCATGTGGTCCCATTTATTAAATGTAGGTCTTAGTGCCTGTGCCACAGGTGTCCTATTCAGAAAGTTTTTTTCCTGTACCAGTCAGTTCAAGCCTATTACACACTTTGTCCTCTATCTTATTCAGGGTCTCTGGTCTTATTTTGAGATCCTTGATCCACTTGGAGTTGAGTTTTATTCAGGGTTAGAAATACAGTTCTCTGTGCATTCTTCTTGAAGCCATAAAGTTTGGTGAACACCATGTATTGAAGCTGTTTTTTTCCAGCGTGTCTTTCTAGTTGCTTTATCAAAAATAGTGTCCATAGGTGTGTGGACTTACGTTTGGTGTTCAGTTTGATTTCATTGATCAACATGTATACTGTGATGCTAAAACCATGATGTTTTTATTACTCTAGACCTGTAAAAGTCATGAAATCTGGGGTGGTGGCTTCTCCAACTCTTTTTGTATTGGGGTTTGTTTTACCTCTCTCCAGGGTTTTTTCTTTGTTCATTTGTTTTTATTTCTTTTTTTTTTTTTTTTTTTTTTGGTTTTTCGAGACAGGGTTTCTCTGTGTAGCTTTGCGCCTTTCCTGGAACTCGCTTTGGAGACCAGGCTGGCCTCAAACTCACAGAGATCTGCCTGGCTCTGCCTCCCGAGTGCTGGGATTAAAGGCGTGCGCCACCACCGCCCGGCTTGTTTTTATTTCTATGTGAAGCTGAAAGGCTTTTTCATGCTGGTGTGGTTTTTTTTTTTTCAATTTCTCTGACTAATTATGTTGTAGTTTTGATGAGGATTTCATTGAATCTATAGATTGCTTTTAGAATGTTTCAGTCATTTCTGTCAGCTGTTGTCCTAACCAGTAAACTAATAGGTATTTCTTTAGGAAGAAGGGAATAAGAACTCACTGCCATCCAAAGCCTATATGAAGTTACTTTTGTAGTTCCCATTGTGTAGGAGATTAATAAATTTATCCTTTTTCTTTTAGTGTGGGCTGAAAAATGTCCTCACCCAGAGGTAAATGACTTTTAATATTTATATTAAATAATTAATATTTATTGAATTCCAAAACATTAATTAAGTATCTCATTTGAAAATCCATTCAGCTGAGGGATTATTCACGTCCAATCTCCAAACCTGAGTCTCTACCACACCAATCTCAACCAGGTAAATTTCGTATGTCACATTCTTCCGATCAGTTTATTTTATTACATTTCAAATGCACACAGACTTCCTGATGCCCATTATAATTTGATGATGGTGATGATAGGGTTTGACATAAGCAATGCCATCTCATTAGTGGCAGACATGCTTCAAAAACATTCACAAGGACAATATGAATTATTAGTAAATGTAAGCACAGCTTCAATGCTTAATACTCAGGTTCACTCACCTTAACCTTTCCAGTGTGCAAATTCCCTGTTTATTAGTGACTTCTATAAGTCAATTATGAGACTAATGTGACTTCCCCAAAGTTTGAACATCATTTCTGGACACCTAGGTCTCAAAACACACACCTATAGTAAAGCTGCCTGAAAGGTCAGGGCAGAGACATGTTGAGCTCAGAGATTCTGTTCTGGGCTGGACAAACAGCAATATACCACCTCTTCAGAAAAGAAAATCAATTTTTGTGTTGTTTATAACTCATAGTGCACTGCCTTCCTCCATCTGCAGAGCATTGTAATTGATTTACAAGGAATAGGAATGGCATTTTAAATCCATATCTATAATCTATTTCAATAAATTAGGGTACACTCGCATACTGCAGTTCAGTCACTGAAAATCTCATTACTTATATGCACATCTTGTTTGCTTTTACACCTTTTCATTTCTCTGTACTCTATTGTCTGAAACTCATCTCTCTGTGTTTATATCAGTAAAGAAACCATGTCTGCAATGACTTACTTACTTTCAAAACTTAAAAGTCAAAACCTATCAGAATCACACAAAGTAATTAAAAGAAAACAGGAAACAAAAGCAAATGAGATCTTCAGATCTTAGAATAACCTTTAATATAGTTCCTACATGTCAAGGAGAAAAACGGATACAACTGTATCAAAGTGAGTTCAAGTTGAAGTCGAAAAGAAGAGTTTAAGCATTATCTTAAGCTAGGGTAGCTACAGCAATACCCATTTTTCTTGGGAAAAAAAAGGATGTACAGTACAGAATGACTCCATGTGATAAAGTGAGTCATAAAAGAGCAATTTGTCGGGCGGTGGTGCCTTTAGTCCCAGCACTTGGGAGGCAGAGGCAGGCAGATCTCTGTGAGTTCAACACCAGCCTGGTCTACAGAGTGAGTTCCAGGAAAGGCTCCAAAGCTACACAGAGAAACCCTGTCTCGAAAAAACAAACAAAAAAAAAAAAAAACGGAGCAGTTTCAGTGCAGAGCAAAAGCATGTTATCCTGTTCACAGAAAAATGTATGGTAAACCAAGTACCATTTGGGGGAAGTGAACAGTGAGTTACTCAAGTTACTCTTGCAAGGCAAGTATAGTTTACAGGATGAAAGTGTCATTTTCCACAGTTCCTTCATGTGTGGATGTAAGCATAAATGTCATTTATGAGCTTTATGACAAATCATATGAAGCATGTATGACTCAAAACTGGCCAATATGTAGTACCTGTCCAAGTGTTGATTTGTCTACAATTACAAGCTTTCTTGAGGATGTAAATATACACCTCTACAATGTGGTTAATTGAAATAACATATAAAAAATAAAACCGTAACTTTATATTATTTCTATTTTTATAGAGTATTATTTTGCCTAATAGTTCATATTTTTTATGTAAAAGATATAATATTTTCAGAAGAACTAGAAGAAGAAATAACAGAATTTGAAGTGAAAAATGAGAGAAGTTTGGATAAGAGTGCAGAAAATCAAGAATTTGTACGTAAAATTTAAATTTAAATTTCTCATTTCCTATTGTTTGCTTCAATGACTTTGCCATAGACCCACATGCTACATTTTAAACCACATTATTCAGTCAAAAAATTAATAATTGAGTAATAAAATGAAAGCACTTAATCTATTCTTAATTACAAAGCATTCTTAGAATCCCATGACATTGCTAAATATTTCCTTTGATGTATAATAAGTAAATTTCTGATCATTGTAATTGCTCTATTTTTAATGTATTTATACACCAGGGTAAAGACAAGACTCAATGTGAATATCATGGATCAGATTTGAAGTAACAATGCATTCTTTATATTCTAACTACCCTCTCTCCTGTGTACAACGTTTAAAGACTTTTAACCATTCTTCCAAGCTGCCTTCTAAATCACTTTATGGTGTCCTTTGCTGCACTGAAGATTTTTAGTTTCATGGGGTCCCATTTATTACTTTGGTAATTACTTGTTCATAGTGTCTGTACCAGTGACCTGCTCAGAAAGTATTTAGCTGTACCAAAGAATTAATCATTAATCTGTACCATTTGGGCCTTGTGTTGAGATACCTGGATCATTGGAAGCTGAGTTTTATGCAGGGTGAGAGATAAGGCTCTAACTTCATCCATCCACCTATAGTCCAATCTGTCCAATGTGACTGGCACCATTTGTTTTCTACAATGTGAATCGCTGGCCTCTTTTACAAAAATTAAGAGACTGCAGGACTGTGGGCTTATATGTGGGTCATTAGTTTTCTACCACCAATCAATGTTTGTTTGGGGGCCACTGCCATACTCTATTTATTATTTCAATTGGTTATAGTAACTTGAAATCTGGAATGGTGATGCTTCCATAAGTTTTTGTTTTTGTTCTTTTTAGTTTGCTTTGTTTTTGTTTCATGGTTCAAAATTGTTTCAGCTATTCTTGGTCTTTTGTGTTTCCATTTGGGATTTAAAATTTCTTTTTCATTTTCTATGAACATTGAACTGGAATTTTTTTTAATTAATTTTTTTTATTTTTATTTTGCAATACAATTCAGTTCTACATAGTAGCCACGGATTCCCTTGTTCTCCCCCCTCCTCTCCCCCTCACCTTCCCCCCAGCCCACCACCCTTTCCCACCTCCTCCAGGGAAAAGCCTTCCCTGCGGACTGAGATCAACCTGGTAGACTCAGTGCAGGTAGGTCCTGTCCCCTCCTCCCAGGGCGGGCCAAGTGATCCTGCATAGGCCACAGTGAACTGGAAATTTTATGTGGATCATGTGGTGTCCATAGATCGCTTTTATTAGGATGACCAGTTTCACAATATTAACCCTACAATAATGATCACAGAAGGTCTTTGCAAGTTATTGTAACACCTTCAGTTTCTTATTTTCACTTTCTTACTGCTTTCATTGTAAAAGTTTCACTTTTTGGTGACATTTTTCCTAATTCATTACACTTTGAGGTTATTTGGAATAGCATGGTTTTCTTGATTTTATTCTCAGTATGTGCAGTATTTTTAGGTAGGGTACTGATTTGGAGGCTCAGATTAAAACCATTTACTTTGCTAAATGTATTTATCAGCCATTGGAGTTTTCTGGGCAAAATATATTGTTTTATAGAAACATATTATTACAAATGAAAATATTTTCACCTCTTGGTTCCTTTCTTGTATCTTCTCTTGTCTTACTCTTCTAGTTAAGACTTCTAGTACTTATTGAACAGAAGAAGAAAGCATGGTCATCCTTGTCAGGTTCCTGATTTTAGAAGGAATGATTTGAGTGTTAACAATATGTTAGTTGTGTGTTTTCTTTTTATTGGCTTTATTTTGCAGAAATATGTCCCTTTCATTCTTAGACTCTCTGAGATTTTTATCATAAAGTGACGATCTATATTGTCAAGACCCTTTCTGTATCTAATGACATAATCATGTGCTATTTGTCCTTGAGTCTGTTTCTATAATGGATGGTATGAAAGTGCTCTCCTCTAAATTGAATTCATTAGATAAGTTCTTCCTATTTTATTGGTTTGTGCCCTCAATTCAGTTATTTCCTGCAGTCTACTCCTCTTGGTGTGCTTGTTGCAGAGCTTTCAGGTGTTCTCTTAAGTCTCTAAAATGAGATCTCTCAAAATTCATTATGAAGGCAGTTGGTGCTATGAACTTTCCTTTTAACAACCCTTGCAATGTGTTCCATACATGTGAATATGTTGTGCATTCACTTTTATTGAATTTGAGGAAGTCTTTAATTTCTTTCTTATCTCTGCCTTGACCCAGTGGTAATTCACTAGAGAGTTGTTCTGTTTCCATGAATTTTTAGACTTTCTCTTGTATCTGTTGTTGTTGAAATTCAACTTTAATCCATGCGGTTTGATAGGATGCAGGGGGTGTGTTTCAATTTATTTGTATCTGACAAAACTTGCTTTGTGACTGAATATGTTGTCAATTTGGAGAGTGTTCCATGAGGTTCTGAGAAATGTCTTCATTTGTATTTGGATGAAATGGTCTCAGGAGCTCTGTTGGGTCAATGTGATTCATAATGTCTATTAGCTCCAGTATTTGATTGGAATAGAATCAAAGACTCAGTGGTATATCCATAAATGTATGGATATTGAATTTCAACCAAGAAGCCAAAATAATACAATGGAAAAAAGATAATACAATTTCAATAAATGGTGCTGCTATAACTGAATGTTGACATGTAGAAGAATGCAAATAGATTCCTATGTATCATTCTGCACAAAATTCAAGTTCAGGTGGATGAAAGACCTCAACATAAACCTAGATACACTGAACCTGATAAAAGAGAAATTGGGAAATAATCTTGAATCCATTGGCACATGAGACAACTTTTTGAATAGAATACCAGTAGAGCAGACACAAAGGTCAATAATTAGCAAATGGAGCCTCAAGAAACTGAAAATCTTTTCTAAGGCAAAGGACACCATCAATGGAAAAAATGACAGCCTACAGAATGAGATAAGATCTTCACCAACCTCGCTTCTAAAAGAGAAAATAGTTCCAAAATATATAAACAAACACTCAGGAAATTACACATCAAAAAACCAAATAACTCGATTAAAAATGGGATACAGATCTAATCAGAGAATTCTCCATAGAAGAATCTCAAATGGCCAAGAAACAGTTACAATAGAGTCCATCTTACACCTATCAAGATGGCTAAGACCTAAAACCAAAGTGACAGCTCATGATGGAAAGGATGTGGAGCAATAGGAACACTTCTCTCTTGGTGGTGGAAGGGGAAACTTGTACAACCACTTTGGACATCACTATGGAGATTTCTCA